AGGACCTCCAAGGTCCCTCCCAACTCTGTCCTTCTCTTACCCCTGGCAGGAGGCGATCGGCCCTTACGTCTTCCTCATCTTCGCCATCCTCCTCTTCATCTTCTCCGCCTTCACCTACCTCAAGGTGCCCGAGACCCGGGGGCGCACCTTTGACGACATCGCCGCCACATTCCGACGCACCCCGTCGTTGCTGGACCGGGAGATCAAGCCCTACACGGAGCTGGACGAGCTGAGCCCGGACGGTCACGAATGAAGACGGGGGTGTGTGGGTGGGCGGGTGTGGCCGGGATGGGAGTTGCGGAGAGGGAAAGGAGACCACAAGGCATGGAATCAGGGACGGTGGCAAAAAAGAGCAGGGTTTGATGAGCACTTTACGGTCGGGAGGCCTGGCTGGAAGATCTCAGGGTCTCGGCCAAACGGTTTCTTGGGTCCGGTTGCGTTTATTATTATTATTATTATTGTTATTATTTTTTAATTGTTCGTTTTTAATAGAAAAGCAATCGATTGTTTTTAAACCGGACGGTCGTGGAGGGCAGGGGTCACGGTCACCGCTGTAAATAAGGCTTTGGGGTGGAAAGATGCCCTCTGGGTAGCCCTAATTGGCCTAGATTTTCCCCCAGTTTTCCAGAGCACTTTCGGAAGCAGGAACCAGTCCCCCCCCCCCCCCCCAGGAAAGAGAGAGACAGAGTGATTGCCAACTAACCCTCTTCCAAAGACTTGTCTACCTGGCTGGCTAAGTCCTGAGTGCGTGTCGCCCAAGAGTGCCCCAGAGCATGGGCAGAGTTCCTAGCTAACCCTTCCGGAGGTTCCACAGACAGGTTTACTCTTTCCCCTGATCCAGAACATCCATTTTTTCCAGTAAATGTTGGACACCTTCCAGACCAGGGGTGTCCAAACATGGCCCCTTTAAGACCTGTGGACTTCAACTCCCAGAATTCCCCAGCTGTTCTTTTTTTTTTTTTTTAACTTTGCTGAAGTCAAGATATATTACGCCAACCGCATTCCCACCATCTATGAAGAAAGTTACCCAGTCAAAAAAATAAAGTAGTCCGGTCACATTTGTTTCTGTCCTATATGCACTGAATTCTGTTAAAAGCTTGCCAGCTGGGGAATTCTGGGAGTAGAAGTCCAGAAGTCTTAAAGTGGCCAAGATTGGACAACCTCGGTCTAGACATCAAACCCTGAATGTGTGATTAAGGCTGAGGCCAAAGAAGAAGATGGTGACCGGAGAGGTGAAAGAGTGACAGCCTGGGATGACCTCTAGAGACCTTCTCTGGTCCTCCACGGTGACCTTGGGACTCCTAAGCTCATCTCCAGAGAAAGAACTACAAGTCCCATGCCAAGGCCTGTGAGATTGACACTATGGACCAGTGTTTCCAGGCTCAGCAACTTTAAGAAGGGTGGACTTCAACTCCCAGAATTCCCCGGACAGAATTTGTGGGCTTCGACTAACTCCCAGAATTCCCTGGACAGAATTTGTGGGCTTCGACTAACTCCCAGAATTCCCTGGCCAGCATTTTTGGACTTCCACTAACTCCCAGAATTCCTTGACCAGCATTTGTGGGCTTCCACTAACTCCCAGAATTCCCCAGCCAGCATGCACGTTCTTCAGCGACCACTGTTGAATTCTGGGAGTTGAAGTCCACCCATCTTAAGAGTCGCTGAGGCTGTGGGAAGCCCTGCAAGATGCAACATACCCTGGGTTGCTATCTTGGGTGGGCGGGGGGATCCCCCCCCCCGTTGACCCCTCTTTCCTGGACCTCCCTCCGAGTCGGGGGTCCGAGTGCGAGAGAGACAGAGAGCTGAATGGACCTCTTGAAATGAAAGCCTCACGCCGCACGGTCCGTGCCCGGTGCCAACCGGGCAGCTGATGTGTCACAGCTCACCCCCGCCCCCCCGGCCTTCTTCGGCCTCCCCTGGGTCCCCGCGATTATGAGGCCACTGGCGCCCCCCCACCCCAAAACCACTACAGATGTTTGCCCTGAGATTAAAAGGGGAAAAAACCTTATACTGGAGCCGTTAAGATTAAAAAAAAAAAGCTGCAAATTGGAAATAGGATGGTTTTGCAAAAAGGGACTTATTTTGCTAAGCACATACCAATAAAGGAGAATATTTATAGCTCAGGGTTGAAATGAGGGGGTCCCTGGTGCTCTCTTGCAGATGTTTCGTGACCCAACTAGGGAACGTCATCAGTGCTGGAAGGGAGGGGGGGTTGCAGACAGGAAGAGGAGGAGGAGGACTGAGGGGGTCCTTGGGGGTCTCTGAGCTTTGTGGTTTTCTTGCAGATGTTTCATTATCCAACTAGGCTAGGGAACATCATCAGTGCTAGAAGAGTTTGCAGGGGGGAGGAGGAGGATGAGGAGGACTGTGGGGTCCTTGGGGGTCTCTGAGCTTGGTGGTTTTCTTGCAGACATTTCATGACCCAACTAGGTAACATCATCAGTGCTAGTTAGGGGTTTGTTCAGGTCTGAGCTGGTTGAACCTGGTTTAATTCTCCCCCACCCTCAGCTCAGGAACTCCCAGTTTTTCAAAGACGGGAACATTAATTAATGGAATTAATTTTGGAGCAAAGATCGGTGGTTGTCTCACACTTTCTAAAATTGCCTTAGGTTTCAATTCCTCCTTTGATTCCTCCCCACTTTTAAACCCTTGCAATTTTCAAGAACCTTTTTGCATCTACAAAGAGTGCCTAGAATTTGGTTATTTTTAATTTAATTTATTTTTTTATTTTTTTATTATTTTATTTTATTTTATTATTTATTATTTTATTTATTTTATTTTATTTTATTTTTTATTTCATTTTTATTTTATTTTATTTTGTTTTATTTTTATTTTATTTTATATTATTTTTATTTATTTTATTTTATATTATATTTTATTTTATTATTTTATTTTATTTTTATTTTATTTATTCATTTTATTTTATTTTATTTTATTATTATATTTTATTTTATTATTTTATTTTATTATTATTTCATTTCATTTTATTTATTTTTATTTCATTTATTTTTATTATTTTATTTTATTATTTTATTTTATTATTTTATTTTATTTTATTATTTTATTTTATTTTATATTTTATTATTTATTTTTTATTTTATTATGAAGTCGTGGAATTTTAAAAACAGAAGCCGGATGCGTCTCTTTTGGGAAAATTCGACCACCCGGTGCGGGGAACGTCAGAAGGGAAAAATGAAAAGATGCGAGACTCTAAACATTCTTTTTAAAAAAGGATCTTTTTCCTCCCAATTTGTATAATTGCCAAACGGAGTTACTTTGGGGGCTTTGTGTCGCGAGAGAAAAATGTCTTAACAGGGCCGGTGGGCTTTTGCGTGCGCGTGTGTGTGCATGTTTAATTTTGTATTTCTAGAAGAAGAAGAAAAAATATTTGTATATAAAGAATAGATGGCTATATCCTGTTTGGATGCTCGGCTATTTCCTAAAAAGGCGAGTCGCTGAAGGCCGCGGGAATGTTAAGATGCCACGCCAAATCTCGGTTAATCGCTTTTAAGACCAACCAGGAGAATTTTTTCTCCCAAATGCGTCCTTGGTCCGTGCAAAGAATTATTCCTGAAGAGCGTTGGAGCAATCCTCGACTTCCTTTTGGATGATATTCACAGGCCTTCCTTTTTGAGAAACGTCTGACCTCGTCTGACATGGAGAATGTGGCTTTTTATCCCAATCCCCCCCCCCATCCTCCCCCCCCCACCCGGCTTGCATTTTCCCAGAACAGGGAAGGGGAAAAAAAGAAAAAAAAAGAGAAATATTTCTGGCATCTTTAGGCGAAGCAGCTGAATCAGCTCCCCAGCCAGCAGCATTTGATGGGCTGCAAAGACTTGGCCCATTGTGACACGTGTGTGTGTGTGTGTGTGTGTGTGTGTGTGTCTGTGTGTCTGTGTGTCTGTGTGTCTGTGTGTGTGTCTGTCTGTCTGTGTCTCTGTGTCTCTGTGTCTCTGTGTGTGTGTGTGTCTCGCAGCCTGGTCTTTCTCCTCCCGGCCGAGGACTCAGACTTTCTCCCCCCACCCCACATTGGCTCTTAGAACATAGATTCTAAGGAAGGGACCTTGGAGGTTTAGAATAGGATAGGATAGGATAGAAATATGAATATAGAATAGAAATATGAATAGAATAGAATAGAAATATGAAGAATAGAATAGAATAGAATAAAATAGAATAATAGAATAGAATAGAATAGAATAGAATAGAATAGAATAGAATAGAATAGAATAGAAATTAGAATAGAATAGAATAGAATAGAATAGAATAGAATAGAATAGAATAGAATAATAGAAATATGAAGAATGGAATGGAATGGGATAGGATAGGATAGGATAGAAATATGAATAGAATAGAATAGAAATATGAATAGAATAGAATAGAAATATAAATAGAAATATGAATAGAATAGAATAGAAATATGAATAGAATAGAAATATGAATAGAATTGAATAGAATATAGAATAGAAATATGAAGAATAGAATAGAAAAGAATAGAAATATGAAGAATGGAATGGAATAGAATAGAAATATGAAGAATAGAATAGAATAGAATAGAATAGAATAGAATAGGAGCTGGAAGGGACCTTGGAGGTCTTCTAGTCCAGCCCCTTGCTCAAGCAGGAGAGACCATACCATTTCAGACAAATGGCTATCCAGTCTCTTCTTAAAAACTTCCAGTATTGGAGCAGTCACAGTTTTTGGAGGCAGGTCGTTCCACTGGTTAATTGTTCTCACTGTTAGGAAGTTTCTCCTTTAATTCCAGGTTGCTTCTCTCCTTGATGAGTTTCCATCCCGTTGTTTCTTCTCCTGCCTGGAGAATAGGTGGACACCCCCCCCCTCTTCTTTGGAGCAGCCCCTCAAATATTGGAAGACTGCTACCATGTCCCCCCTATTCCTTTGATTAAACTAGACATCCTCCAGTCCCCTGATCATCTTTGTTGCTCTTCTCTGCACACTTTCAAGACTCTTAGCATCTTTTTTTGTATTGTGCTGCAAGAAATGTGGGTAGGAACTACCTGTCTGACATTTGGGGTGGGGGGCAAACAGTCCCACCCAGGTGCACAGCTTCTCCTGGACAGACCTGCGCCAAGCACTAATAATAGTAATAATAAAGGTGGAAGGTGCCTTGGAGGTCATCTAGTCCAACCCCCTGCTCAGGCAGGAAACCCTATACTACTACCTGTGTCAACATGGCATTTCCTGGGCAGGCAGATGCTCCCGCTCCTGGGCGCTGGAAAAGGAGGCAAATTCAGGAAAGCCAGCAAGGCTCAACCCTTGAGGCGGGGCAAGGCTGCAGACACCCCCGACTTAAGCAGAATCCCTTCCTAACAGAGGTCATCTAATCCAGCCCCCTGCTGGAGCAGGAGACCCCAGACCATACCAGACAAATGGCTATCCAATCTCTTCTATTGATGGAGCACCTGCAACATCTGGTGGCAAGTCGTTCCACTGGCTAATTGTCCTCATTGTCAGGCTCAGGAAAGGTGGAGCAAAGCTCTAACCCAAGGGTCTTCAAACTTGGCAACTTTTAAGACTTGCGGACTTCGACTCCCAGAATTCCTCAGCCAGCCCTGAGGGCTGGCTGAGGAATTCTGGGAGTCGAAGTGCGCAAGTCTTAAAAGTTGCCAGGTTTGAAGACCCCTGCTCTAACCACTCAGCAGCCCCTTTCAAACAAAGGACCACTTTTGCCGGCCACATCTGTCTTTCCAAAAGGGACTACAAAGCCCTGGCATCCTCCTTCACCCTCGCCCTGCCCGTCAAGCATTGGCTGCAATTCCTTCAAGGCAAAAAGGTTGCCCAGATTGTCAAGTTCCTTTCCTTAACACCACAACTGGAACCCAGAAAACCAACTCACAACCTCTTTCGTGCGCCACCCGTTAAAAGTTTGTTTCCCTTCTGTGTTTGTTTCCCCTCTGGGTAATTCTGGGCAATTCTGGGCCAGGGGGGTGGGGTTGGTCTAGATGACCTACAAGGTCCCTTCCAACTCTTTCGTTCTTCTCAATTCTAATTTTCAAGAAAGCGCCCTGACAACTCTCTGCCAGAAGTGGTTTGCCTTCCCCCTCCCCTCCTTGTCTCCTTCCCAGGGCGGAGAGAAAGTAATAATAATAATAATAATAATAATAATAATAATAATAATAATAATAATAATAATAATAATAATAATAATAATAAAAATAAAAATAATAAAAATAAAAATAATAAAAAATAATAATAAAAATAATAATAAAAATAATAAAAATAAAGTTGGAAGGGACCTCGGAGGTCATCTAGTCCAACCCCCTGCTCAGGCAGGAAACCCTATCCCATTTCAGACAAATGGCTGTCCAGTCTCTTCTTAAAGACTTCCAGTGTTGGAGGGAGGGAGGGAGGGAGGGAGGAAGGAAAAAAAGAATAACAGAATAAAATTTGGAAGGGACCTTGGAGGTCATCTAGTCCAACCCCCTGCACAGGCAGGAAACCGTATCCCATTTCAGACAAACGGCTGTCCAGTCTCTTCTTAAAAACTTCCAGTGTTGGAGCATCTGTGGGTAAGGCAGGACTCGAACTCGGAGCCTCCCAAGTTTCTAGTCCAAAGCTTCAACCACGACGACGCCCCCCCGCCGTCTCCCGTGGTTTTAAGTTTTGCCAAACCGGGTCCTACCCCCCGACCCCCACCCCTCCCCGGGGCCGTCACCAGGAAGATTTTGGGACAGCTTTTCAGAGAAAAGATAGCGACGGAAAAAACCCTGCCTCCAAGTTTAAAAAGACCTTTTTAATGGCCGACAAAAAAACAGGGGACGTACGCAAGCTCTGTGCAAGGTTTTTTTTTTTTTTTTGTCTTTTTACTGACGCCCAAACTGCACACAACGGTTCACATGGGGGGGTGTTCTTCAAACAATGTGGGGGGGGGGAAGGAGAAAAAAAAATTAACTCAAGATTTAACAGCCAGTTTTTCATTTTTTCTCTTTTTTTTTCCCTTTTAAACTGGCAAAACTGTGGGGAGGAAACAGACAAACCCCTCTGAAGTTTTTTTTTTTTTTTTAAAGCAAAGTTTCCTTTCTTTCTGGTCAGGTTTTTTTCCCCCCACCCCGGTCAGGTTTATCCTTTTTTTTTTCCCTTTCTTTCTTTCTTTTTCTTTAACATTTTAGGGCTTGAACAGCAGCAAAGAGGGTTTAATTGGTGAAGTCTGGGGTCTCTTCAAGTGCAGGATGAGGTAACTTGGGTTTGGAGGCACATTCTGGATACCTGCCAAAGGAAGGAAAGGTAAAAATCAGACAACGATGGAGGTGGTTTGCAGCAAGCTGAGAAAAAACCCAGATTTATTATTATTTTCCCCCCCCAAAAAATAATATTGGTGCATTTGAGAGACGCCCAGCCAAGGAAGCATCAGGAGAAAGAAATCTGCTGGGTTTTTAAAAAAAAATATTTAACCCCCTTCCTTTGCATTCCTTTTTTTTTTCCCCTACAAATTTTATTGATTTTTCTAATAAAACATTCACATATTTTGAAAAGCAACGTGGCGGCTGAGTTATACTAATTCAATTTGTCCGAAATGGTGTAGGGTTTCCTGCCTGAGCAGGGGGTTGGACTAGATGACCTCCAAGGTCCCTTCCAACTTTATTATTATTATTATTATGGATCATCGCACAGTCAGCCAGATGTTCAGACTGGACTTGGCATTTTGTCTACCCATCGAGTCCTCCTCCTCATTATTATTATTATTATTATTATTATTATTATTATTATTATTACATACAGATATCACTAGTGCTGATTTCAAACTACTACCATAAACATTTCCTCTCTCTTTGCCTTAATAAATACTGTCCAGATGTAAATTAACACAATTCTTAATCTGTCAATCACATAAAACATCACTTTCTTATATATATCAATAGTTTTTAGTTTGTATGTATGTATGTATGTATGTATGTATGTATGTATGTATGTATAATAATAATAATAATAATAATAATAATAATAATAATAATAATAATAATAATAATAATAATAATAATAATAATAATAATAATAATAATAAAGTTGGAAGGGACCTTGGGGGGTCCTCTAGTCCAACCCCCTGCTCAGGCAGGAAACCCTACACCATTTCAGACAAATGGCTGTCCAGTCTCTTCTTAAAAACTTCCAGTGTTGGAGCATTCACCGCTTCTGGAGGCAGGTTGTTCCACTGGTTAATTGTTCTCACTGTCAGGAAGTTTCTCCTTAGTTCTAGGTTCCTTCTCTCCTTGATCAGTTTCCACCCGTTGCTTCTTGTCCTGCCTTCAGGCGCTTTGGAGAACAGCTTGACTCCCTTTTTCCATTTTTAAATTTCCACTAATATTTAAGTTTAACGTTTGGTATTTATCATTCCCAGGATTTCAAATACTCCCGATTCCTCTCTCACCATTCCTCACAAAATCTAATGTTCAGAACACACGCCTTATCAATTTAACCCCCTTCTCCTTTGCATTCCTGATCTCTGGCAGCTTTCAGACACACCCACCCACACCCACCCTCCTCAATTTATCAAAACAAAAAGAGTAGAAACTTAAAAGACCAGGGGTTCTAAAAAGTTAAAATTCCTGACAACAATAAAGTGGGAAGGGACCCGGGAGGTCATCCAGTCCAACCCCCTCACCCCGCTCAGGCAGGAAACCCTATCCCACGTCAAACGAAAGCCCCTTACCAATCAACCCAACCGACAAGCCCTAAACAATAACAATCACAATAAAGTCGGAAGGGACCCGGGAGGTCATCCAGTCCAACCCCCTCACCCCGCTCAGGCAGGAAACCCTATCCCACGTCAGACAAACGAAAGCCCCTTACCAATCAACCCAACCGACAAGCCCTAAACCATAACAACCACAACAAATTTGGAAGGGACCCTGGAGGTCATCCAGTCCAACCCCCTCGCCCCGCTCAGGCAGGAAACCTTATCCCGCTCCAGACCAAGGGAAGCCCCTTACCAGATCACAGCTCTCGGCATCCCCTCGGTGTGTGCAGGCTCTTCATGCCAGTAAAGCGGGGGGCAGCTCTCCCCCCGGCTCGGGTGTTGAAATCTGCCAAGGCAAAGCAGCGGGTTCGGATTCCTACCCGGATGGGAAAATCGGCTCTGCTGGCCCAGATGTGGCTCAAGGGCGACCCCTGGTGGCCCGCTGAGGCCTTGCAGGGCCCTTTTGCAGGCCGTGGGGGGAGAAAGAAGCTGGAGACGGGGAGACCCTCATTGGGATCAGAGGGGGGGGGGTTAACCAGGGATTCAAGCCCCCCTCCCCACCCTGTTGCTTACATCCACAAGCTGTTGCTGGATCTCCAGCAGTGGCTGGGCACCCCCTTCCTGGGCTGGGGAAGCAGGCTTGCTGGCTTCGACCCCCGAGTCTGGAGCCATCACAGGAGTGCTGGCAGCTGGGGTGTCCCCCCCGGCAGCTGCGGAGCTGGGGGCCGGGGGCTCCTTCGCATTGGCAGTTGCCTAGGGCAGAAGAGGACAAGACTCGGATGTTGTGGGAAGGGGTGGCGCAGAGAGACCCCGCACAGAAGACGATTCGGTCCCTAAAACCTGCACCGAACACGATCCGGTCAGTTTCTGGGCCCCGCAGAGCCAGGGAGACTTTTCCCCCCCCCCATCCCTCCTCCTTCCTGGCTGATGGAGCGAAGGCGACCGGGGACTTTAATGCAGCGATCCAAAAGTTTGCAAGTTTTAGAAGAAGAAAAGGCGGAGAAGAGGCGGAGAACGGTAAATTAGTCGAAGGAGATCTTCTAGGCCAGGAATTCCCAAATTCCCAAAATTAACGTATAAAAGTTTTCTGGAACTGCCATCCCTAAATAGCCTGTTTGTTTGTTTTTTCTCCTCCATTTACACTATTGTTTAATGACAGTTGCGGGTCCCAATTAGCCTTGTTGTTAAGCAAGGACGACTTGAAGCATCACCAGAAGCGAAGAGAATTTAAATCCGATAAAGAGTTAAAAACAAAATTTGGGATGGGAAGGCCAGACTGTCAAAGATGCTTTCCCTCCGTCCTCCTGCCTGCCTGGGGCGCCTGTGGATTCTCCAGAAGGGAAATCGGGGATCCCCCTTAGGAGAAACCCCCCCAATTTGTGGGGTCCAGAGCCGTTCGGGGGAAAAAAATAAAAAGACCATAGCAAAGACGGCCGCTTTAACTCGGCCTCGCGATCCTCACTTGAACTCAGAACAAGGGTGTCAAAATCAGAGGTCGGCTGGGCTGGGTCTCTGAGGCCTTTGGGGCAGTGCTCCTGCACCCCACCCATCACCCCCCTCCCCAATTTCCATGCCCCTCACCTCAGTGGACGTCTGGCGAGCCACAGATGGCTGCTGGCGTCGGCGCTGGAAGTAAGGCCGGTTACGTTGCCGTTGAGGCTCGGGACGGATCCCGTCCGCTGGGGCCTGGGCGGCTTTCGTCTCGCCGTCTCCCCCCTCCGTGGTGGGCTGCTGCGGAGGACGGGGGCGAAAAGGTCTGGGCAGGACACAGAGGGGTGGGGGTGGGGGTGAATTAACTGGCAGCCTTCCTTCCCCCTTGGAGGAAAAGATGGCGAGGCAAAGAACTGGGGATGCCCTAGAGCAGAATAAGAATTTCTGCATAGGAAATTCCCTCCAGGAATTGCCCATCGTAATTCAACAATCTCGTTAAATGAATAGAATAGAATAGAATAGAATAGAATAGAATAGAATAGAATAGAATAGAATAGAATAGAATAGAAAATTAATAGAGAATAGAGAATAGAATAGAGAATAGAAAATTAATAGAGAATAGAGAATAGAGAATAGAATAGAAAATTAAGAGAATAGAGAATAGAAAATAATAGAATAGAAAATATAGAAAATTAATAGAGAATAGAGAATAGAATAGAATAGAGAATAGAAAATAGAATAGAAAATAGAATAGAAAATAGAATAGAAAATTAATAGAGAATAGAGAATAGAATAGAATAGGAGAATAGAAAATAATAGAATAGAAAATAGAATAGAAAATTAATAGAGAATAGAATAGAATAGAGAACAGAAAATAGAATAGAAAATAGAATAGAAAATTAATAGAGAATAGAGAATAGAATAGAATAGAGAATAGAAAATAGAATAGAAAATTAATAGAGAATAGAGAATAGAATAGAAAATAGAAAATAGAATAGAAAATAGAATAGAAAATTAATAGAGAATAGAGAATAGAAAATAATAGAAAATAGAATAGAAAATTAATAGAGAATAGAATAGAATAGAATAGAAATAGAATAATGATAATAGAATAGAATAGAATAGAATAGAATAGAATAGAATAGAAAATAGAATAGGAATTCTTTATTGGCCAAGCGTAATTTGTCTCCAGTGCAGAAGCTCTCAGTGTACATACAAGCAACAAGCCGTAAATCATAATCACAATCATAAAATACCATCATAAATCATAAGACAGAACACTAAATATAACCTTAAATAAAGACATGGCGCCTGGAGAGAGGTAACAAAACACTGCCGTTTGCAAAACATTGGAGCGGCAGGCCTAATCTAAACGTTTAGTAGCGTCTCTCTCAACCTGGGCCACTGGAAGACGGGTGGACTTCGACTCCCAGAATTCCCCAGCCATCAAGAGTTTACCAAAATCCAGCATGGCCAGGACGAGAGCAAATGGGATTACTTTGATCACATGTTTTGATCGGGGTAACTTTCTTAATAGAGGGCTGGAACGCGGCAGACGTAATATACCTTCACTTCAGCCAAGTGAAAAACAAACAAACAAACCGTGACAAGCTACCATTAATAAATAGGTTAAAAGTAAGCTAGCTGGCATGACAGTTAAAAGGGAAACGGATAAGGCTAAATGGGGAATTCTGGGAGTTGAAGCTCGCCCGTCTTCCCGGTCGAGAAACACCGAGTCAGCCAATCGCTTACTGAGGATAAGTGTTATTCTGCTGAAAGTTGCTGGGTTACAAGGAGAGAAAAACCTCCCAAATTCCGTTTGTGCCCATTGTTTGATTGGCACCGCCAATCCTGGCTTGTCCCACCGACCCGCCTGGCCGGCAAACTAGCCACTTTTTCCTCCCGGAACGGTCCTCCCGGGTGGGTCTCCTGACTCTGTGGCCCACAGTTCTGCCCTCTCCCCCCCCAAACTCGTGGGGACAAACGCGCTGTGCCAAGACAGCCCCGTCTTAACCAGGGGAAGGCAAGCTTGGATCCTGGTTAGTTTCCCTGGGGGTGGTGTGTGTGTGCGTGTGTGCGGAGAAAGGCTTGCCTGCGGTATCTGGGGCGGAACCGAGGTGCCGCGGCTCTCTCGCCCGCCTGGATCTGCTGAGGCTGGTCTCCTTCAGGCTGGGTGGCATCTTTGGGGTCTGTGCCGTCGGAGCCCTGGGAAGGAAGAGCCGGGTCAGAAGAGGAGGAGAACAGAGCTGGGAGGGAGGCTGCGAGGTCATCTAGTCCAGCCCCCTGCTCAAGCAGGAGCCCCTTACAGAATCATAGTACAACAGAGCCAGAAGGGAGCTCGGAGGTCTTCTAGTCCAGCCCCCTGCTCAAGCAGGAGCCCCTTACAGAATCATAGCACAACGGAGCTGGAAGGGACCTCGGAGGTCATCTAGTCCAGCCCCCTGCTCAAGCAGGAGCCACTTACAGAATCATAGTACAACAGAGCTGGAAGGGACCTCGGAGATCTTCTAGTCCAGCCCCCTGCTCAAGCAGGAGCCCCTTAGAGAATCATGAAACAACAGAGCTGGAAGGGACCTCAGAGGTCATTTAGTCCAGCCCCCTGCTCAAGCAGGAGCCACTTACAGAATCATGGAATAACAGAGCTGGGAGGGACCTCGGAGGTCATCTAGTCCAGCCCCCTGCTCAAGCGGGAGCCCCTTACAGAATCATGGAATAACAGAGCTGGGAGGGACCTCGGAGGTCATCTAGTCCAGCCCCCTGCTCAAGCGGGAGCCCATTACAGAATCATAGTACAACAGAGCTGGAAGGGACCTCGGATGTCATCTAGTCCAGCCCCCTCCTCAAGCAGGAGACCCTTACAGAATCATGGAATAACAGAGCTGGGAGGGACCTCAGAGGTCTTCTAGTCCAACCCCTGCTCAAGGGGGAGACCCAAGTCTGTTCCACATAGCGTAACAACAGAAGAGCAGAGCTGGGAGGGATCTGGGAGGTCTTCTAGTCTAACCCCCTGCTCAAGTAGGAAACGCTGTACCATTTCAGATACAAATATGTAAAGTAATCAGAATAGAGCTGGGAGGGACCTTGGAGGTCTTCTAGTCCAACCCCTGCTCAACCCTACACCGTTCCAGATGGGGTCCGAGCTCAGAGAGATGTCCAGCCTCTGGCACATCTGGAATTCTGGGAGGGCTGGGAAGTGGGGGGGGGAATCTCATCAAAGCCCCCCCCCCTCAAAAAAAAAAACATCCAGAAGACACATCAGCCAAGCAGGAAGAGAAACAACGGAGCTGTGAAACGGCAACGGGGACAGGAGGGCCGTTCTCAAGGGCCAAATCTCCCCCTCGTCCCAAAAGGCTTGTTCCGCCAACAGTGCAAGAAGCCAACAAAGACCCTTCCCCACCCAGACCCCTCCCCCCCACTGCACCCCCAAAAGCAGGGGAAACCCACACAGATCACCCTCAAAACCAAAGACACTGGCTTGGAAAGAGACTTTGGCACAAACTCTCAGCCTTTGCTTTTCCTGGGGCTGCAAAAGCCCCTTCCTCTTTGTGTGTGTGTGTGTGTGGGGGGGTCCAACTGGGTTAATTCTAACCAGAGCAGGACTGGGGGGGGGAGAGGAGAGAATGATGTGGCACAAGAAGCCCAAAGGATGCCCGGGGACCGGCTCTGTGGCCCCCAGACTCACTTCCACCATCTGGGCCTGCTGGGGCTGAGGCCGGGGCCCCCGCACAAATCTCCGGCGGAAGAAAAAAGGCGGGGGGCGCCTCCGGCGCGGGCGCTGCTGTACCGCCTCGTCTGCTCTCTCCCCCTCACTGACCGTCTCGGCGCCCCCCTCGGGCCGGGCAGCATCTGGGGGCATCTGGGTCTGCCGGGGACGGGGGACAAACCGGCGGAAGCGACGGCGGTTGGGGGCGTAGCGGCTGCCTTTCACGGGGACCCCGCCGGGGCCGGTGACGTTGGCTGCTTCGGCCCCCTGCGAAAGATTTTAAAAAAAAGAAAAAAGAGGAGAGGGTCAGTTGGGAGACCCCCCCCACCCCGTCAACTCAGCTCGGTACCCGGTGAAGCCACCCACGCACCCACCGCACGGCCCGCACCTTCTCGCCTTCCACCACATCAAACTCCACCGTTTCCCCATCTCCAACACTTCGCAGGAATTTGCGAGGATTGTTTCTCTTGATCGCCGTCTAAGGGAAAAAAAAAACCACACACACACACACAAAAACAGAATGACCTTTGGCGTACGGGCATCCGAGGGTCCAGCCTTGGCCACTTGGCAAACCATCCCAGAATTCCCCAGATCAGCAGTTTTGAGAGGGCAACTTTAATAATAATAATAATAATAATAATAATAATAATAATAATAATAATAATAATAATAATAATAATAATAATAATAATAGTAGTAGTAGTAGTAGTAGTAGTAAAGTTGGAAGGGACGTTGGAGGTCATCTAGTCCAACCCCCTGCTCAGGCAGGAAACCATTTCGGACAAATGGCTGTCCAGTCTCTTCTTAAAGACTTCCAGTGTTGGAGAAGGGAGAGAGGGAAGGAAGGATAACAGAATAACAGATGGAAGGGACCTTGGAGGTCATCTAGTCCAACCCCCTGCTCAGGCAGGAAACCCTATACCATTTCAGACAAATGGCTGTCCAGTCTCTTCTTAAAAACTTCCAGTGTTGGAGAAGGGAGGGAGGGAGGGAGGGAAGGAAGGATAACAGAATAACAGATGGAAGGGACCATAAAGTTGGAAGGGACCTTAGAGGTCATCGAGTCCAACCCCGTGCTCAGGCAGCAAACCCTACACCATTTCAGACAAATGGCTGTCCAGTCTCTTCTTAAAAACTTCCTGTGTTGGAGCATTCACAGCTTCTGGTGGCAGGTTGTTCCACTGGTTAATTGTCCTCACTGTCAGGAAGTTTCTCCTTAGTTCCAGGTTGCTTCTCTCCTTGATTAGTTTCCATCCGTTGCTTCTTGTCCTGCCTTCAGGCGCTTTGGAGAATGGCTTGACTCCCTCTTCTTTGGGGCAGCCCCTGAGATACTGGAAGGCTGCTATCCTGTCCCCCCTCGTCCTTCTCTTCATTAAACTAGACATCCCCAATTCCAGCAACTGTTCCTTATATGTTTTGGCCTCCAGTCCCCTGATCATCTTTGTTGCTCTTCTCTGCACTCTTTCTAGAGTCTCAACATCTTTTTAAATTAATTTATTATTTTCATTAATGAAAATTTAATTAATTAATTAATTTTAATTAATTTAGCTTTCTTAATTACACGAGGGGAACGCGGTAGACATAACAGACCTGGACCTCAGCAAAGCGCAACAATAAGTAAATAAAACAACCCAGGACAAGGTAAATTCAAGATTTAAAGGTAGGTGAGATGAATAGGACCATTCAAGGGCAAACTGCTGGATTCTGGGAGTTGAAGTCCACCGCGGTTAAAAGTGGCCAAAGTTGGACATCCCTGATTTACACGGTGCTAAGTTCCCGAGCCTGCAGGTGTGCACATGTCTAGCGAAAAGCCAAAAACCTGGCACCCGTTCTATTTATCTCACCAATTAAATAAACCAAATGATTGCGGGCAAGGTTACCAATTCTAAAACTGTAAAACAGCCAACGCAAATCACCATTTACAAAACCAATTAAATAAACCAAGCGATGGTTGCAAAGCTGAGGCTGCAAAATCAATGAACGCAAAATGATCGTTACAAATAAGATAATTTGAGGATTGGCTAAACAAAAAACACACACACAAAAAGGAATAAAATATTGTTTAAAAAGCATCCGGAAAAAATAAATGCCAGCTAATTAAACCTAACTAAGAGTAAAGTTGAATAACGAGCTGTACCGGACTTTGGGGCACACAGAGAAGTTTTTAAAAGTTGTGAGGAGGCCAGCGAGATCGGGGATGTGTACCCCTGGGTTGTGGGCTTTTGACAATCAAGACTTGGACAAGTCAGTTAGCCAACTGCGCCAAAAATGGGAGACCTCCCTTTTCAAAGCCTTTTTTTTTAAAAAATTATTTGCAAGGCTGGCAATTAGGAACTGGCAAGCCGGTTGAAGGACAGACGTGCAATTAAACGACAGAGTTCGTTACTATCCGAGGGGGGGAGATAAGGCTATCAGCGACTCCCAGGGAGGACCGCTAAATTGTGCTGAATTGGTGTTGCTACTAGCTGAGAGAAGAATTATTGAGTTGGCAGGAATTATTAAGAGAGCCCCTAAAATTCTTATAAATCCATTCTGCCCCCACCAATTCTAGCTTTGCAAACTTTAGGTGGGCTTTTTAAACCGAAAAACAGTAGCCAAAAAGCAAAACCGAGTTGACGGACGAGTTTATCCTGGGCATTATTTTGCATGTGTGTTGGTAACTTTGGCCACTTTCAGATCTGTGGACTTCAACTCCCAGAATTCCCTAGCCAGCACAGCTGGCTAGGGAATTCTGGGAGTAGAAGTCCACCAGTCTTCAAAGTGGCCAAGCTTGGACACCCCCGAATCTAAAAGAAATGTTAACTGTTGATCTAAGCCAGGATCAATTTTAACCCCAACATTTCTCAAAATTTCCTCGCTTTGACCAATGTGAAGGCTTAAGGGAGCAGTGACAGGGTGGGAAAAAAAAAAGAAAATTAAAAAGAAAATTGCATTACACGATGCTTAGTTCTTACCTGGTGCACAAACACATCCTCTTTGGTATCATTCCTGGAAGGAAGGGGGGGAGAGAGAGAGAAAGGGAGGAAAAATATAAACCTTGAAATCCTTAATCCTTAATCGTGCTGAGCTTTGTTTGCACCGAACCAAGACTAAAATTACGAAAGTGGGAGCTTAAAGGAGACCTACCAGCCCCGTCTCTAAATTCTACTCCATTTGTGCTGGGCCAAAGCACTGGAAAACCCGGGAACCTGGTCTAGCCGGAAACCAACATCCAGAAGATGTCGGCTTGACCAAAGCTTATGCCGACTAATTAAAGGAATGAAGGTCACCGACAACCCTGGTTTATTGCTCTTCAAAGGGGACGGCATCCAATTAGCCTTTGTCCCCAAATGGATTACAAATTTGTTTGTTTGCAACTTGATGCCTCTTCTGCACAGAGAGGCCCAGCGTGAAAGTTTTAAATCTTCCAAGCCACAGAAGGGGGGGAGGGGAAAGTCCCTCAATTTCCAGTGGAATTCTACCAGGAAGGAGTCCGGGGCTTACCCAAATAAAAGAAGCCAGCCAACAGAGAGATACGCGGAATATTCGTAGCTTAGGAATTGGACTGTGGGGCTCCTCGGCGCTCTCTGAGCTGGGTGGTTTTCTTGCAGACGTCTCATGACCCAGCTAGGTAACCTCATCAGTGCTGGAAGGGACTGTATACCAACAGAGAGCACGTCCTCTTCCCTCCTTCTAGCACTGGTGACGTTACCTAGTTGGGTTATGAAATGTCTGCAAGAAAACCACCCAGTTCAGAGAGCACCAAAGACCCCTGAGTCCGCCTCCTCCTCCTCCTCCTCCTCCTCTTCCTCCTCCTCCTCCTCTTTCTCCCCCCCACTCCTTTCTGGCCCTGATGATGTTACCTAGTTGGGTCCTAAAATGTCTGCAAGAAAATCACCAAGTTCATAGAGCACCAAGGACCCCTGAGTCGTCGTCGTCGTCGTCGTCGTCGTCGTCGTCGTCGTCCTCCTCCTCCTCCTCCTCCTCCTCCCTCCATTCTGCAAACCCACCCACCCCCTTCTAGCACTGATGATGTTCCCTAGCTGGGTCCTAAAATGTCTGCAAGAAAACCAGCAAGCTCAGAGAGCACCATGGACTCCACAGTCCTTCTCCCCCTCCCCTTTGCCTTCCTCCTCCTCCTCCTCCCTCCCCCCCTCCTGCAAATCCCACTCCCTTCTAGCACTGATGTTGTTATCTAGTCGGGTCGCGAAACGTCTGCCAGAAAACCAGAGAGCACCAAGGACCCCCCCAGGGACTTTGCTGAAAGCCTGGTCCCATCAGCCTGGTCCCAAAAAGCAGGGCACACGGGCCTGGGGCGCTTCGCACCTTCCCTAAAGCATAGGCAGGACAGCCCAAGGGGGCATCTTGGTCCAAGGACAGACCCCAGAGATAAGGCCTGCCGGCTATTCCAACTTGGCCGGGCTAGCTGTTTGCTTAAGGCCACCTCCGACAAACATCGGTCTCTCTGGCAGGGCAGCCCAGCAAGCCAGCCCAGCTTTCACAAACCACACAAACTGAAAAAAACAACAACAACGATAGCAGGTCATCTGACCAGCTGCCACCTCTGCCAGGTAAACTTTGGTCTCCTGACTCAGTTGCTTTTGTCCCAAGGAGAAGGAAGTTGGCACGAAGTAGTAGCTCCAAGCTCCGAGCTTCTCCAGACAAGCCGCCTTTGGGAGTTAATTTAGGCTTGACCCACGCCGTGACCACAGTAGGGGTAGAAATGCCAATATCCCCCGGGGGATCGGGCCCCATCTTGGATTATAACACACACACACACACACACACACCCTCCCCCACTAAGGAAGGCCAGTTTGTTACAAAGAACCACCACAACGGAGAGAATCTCCTGGTTGGGTTCTTAATTGGACCCCAAAGTTAACCGCTGAACACAACAATTAAGCCAACAATTGGCTTAATTAACCATGATTAAACCAAGTTAAGTTTTGTGGTTGTTTTTTTTTTAACCTTCTCCCCCCTCCCCCATTGCAAGACAAGCAAAGATAACGTCCATCCAGGCCAGGGGGGTCTTCCAACTTGGCCACTTTTAAGATTGGTGGACTTCAACTCCCAGAACGGACGAGTCTGACAAGTGGCCGAGTCGGAAGACACCCCAGACCTGGAGGCTTTGTAAATAAAATAATAAAATAAAATAAAATAAAATAAAATAAAATAAAATAAAATAAAATAAAATAAAATAAAATAAAATAAAATAAAATAAAATAAAATAAAAAAAATAAAATAAAATAAAATAAAATAATAATAAAATAAAATAAAATAATAAAATAAAATAAATAAAATAAAATAATAAATAAAATAAAATAAAATAAAATAAAATAAAACCCTCCCAGTTCAAAGGTTTGTTTTTTTTTACACCTTGCAGGAGGGGGAAAGCTCACCTGTTTATAAATCCATAGCCATTGCGGACGTTGAACCACTTCACAGTGCCCTGTACCTGGGTGGCTGGGGGGGGGGTCGGGGAAGAAAGAGAGAAGACTGGTGACACTGCCCAAAGGACCCTTCTGTGCCCCCCCCCAAAAAAAAGAGCTGCTAGTTTTTTGGAGCCATCTTCCTCCCCCTCCCCCCCCCCCAAGGCCAGCTGGAGCCCATCATCCTGGTCAAGGACGCCGGGAGACTCCTCCAGGCTGGCTGTTGATATCCTGGCCTCTTGGTAGCTGGGAGGAGTCTTAGCAGCCTCTGGAACTCCCAGACACGGGGGAGCACCGAATGGACCACCTGCCACCCACTCATTGCGGACCCCACGCTGGGGAATTAGGGGAGGGGGCTTGGGGGACTAAGGTTTTCTCCAAAAAGCAAGGGAATCGGTGCAATTCGGAGCAAGAAAGACCCCCTCCCAAGCGCAGCGCAGGTTCCAGTTTTCAGCGGGGCTGGGGTCCGGCTGGCCTAAGAGGGACCCCCGGCCCCACCCATCATGCCCAGCCACGCAGTCCCGAAGTCAGCACGGTTCTCCTCGAGAAAGTCCACCCTCCGCGCGGCTGGAAATGGGAACTGTAGTCCTGCGCCGCCCCCCATCCTCCTCCTCCTCCTCCAGTTCGAGAAAACTCTCGCGGCTGCCCCGCGACCCATCATGCCCAGCCACGCAGTCCCTAAACCCCACCTCCCGCGTGGCTGGAAATGGGAACTGTAGTCCTGCGCCGCCCCCCCCCTCCTCCTCCTCCTCCAGTTCGAGAAAACTCTCGCGGCTGCCCCGCGACCCATCATGCCCAGCCACGCAGTCCCTAAATCCCACCTTCCGCGTGGCTGGAAATGGGAACTGGGGTTCTGTGACGCCCCCCCCCTCCTTCAAACCCTCCAGTTCGGAAAAGCGCCGGGAAAAACCCATCATGCCCAGCCGGCCTCCAGAAAGCCCACGTCCCGCGACTCCGGATGATGGGACCTACAATCCTGCGCCGCCCCCACCCCACAGTCCGGACAAGCGGCCTGAAAAACCCATCATGCCCAGCCGCAGCGTTGCCAGAGGGCCAGCAAGCTCACCTGCCGCCACTCCGGCTGATGGGACCTGTAGTCCTGCGCCACCACCACCCCCAGTCCGGACAAGCGCCGGGAAAAACCCACCACGCCCAGCCGCAGCGTTGCCAGACGGCCAGCCAGCTCGCCTGCCGCCACTCCGGATGATGGGACCTCTAGTCCTGCGCCACCACTCGCCAGTCCGGACAAGCGCCGGGAAAAACCCACCACGCCCAGCCGCAGCGTTGCCAGACGGCCAGCCAGCTCGCCTGCCGCCACTCCGGATGATGGGACCTCTAGTCCTGCGCCACCACTCGCCAGTCCGGACAAGTGCCGGGAAAAACCCATCATGCCCAGCCGCAGCGGTGGCCAGAAAGCTGGCCTGCCGCCACTCCGGACGATGGGACCTGTAGTCCTCCCCCCACCCGGGAAAACCCCATCATGCCCAGCGGCAGCGGTGTCCAGAAAGCTGGCCTGCCGCCACTTCGGACGATGGGACCTATAGTCCTCCCCCACCAGGGAAAAACCCATCATGCCCAGCCGCAGCGGTGGCCAGAAAGCTGGCCTGCCGCCACTCCGGACGATGGGACCTGTAGTCCTCCCCCACCCGAGAAAACCCCATCATGCCCAGCCGCAGCGGTGTCCAGAAAGCTCGCCTGCCGCCACTCCGGACGATGGGACCTATAGTCCTCCCCCCACCCGGGAAAATCCCATCACGCCCAGCCGCAGCAGTGTCCAGAAAGCTCGCCTGCCGCCCACTACCGGACGATGGGACCTATAGTCCTGCGCCACCACTCGCCAGTCCGGACAAGTGCCGGGAAAAACCCATCATGCCCAGCCGCAGCGGTGTCCAGAAAGCTCGCCTGCCGCCACTCCGGACGATGGGACCTGTAGTCCTCCCCCACCAGGGAAAAACCCATGACGCCCAGCCGCAGCGGTGTCCAGAAAGTTCGCCTGCCGCCACTCCGGACGATGGGACCTGTAGTCCTCCCCCCACCCGGGAAAAACCCATCACGCCCAGCCGCAGCGGTGGCCAGCCAGCTCGCCTGCCGCCACTCCGGACGATGGGACGTGTAGTCCGGGCGACTCGGGGCGGCCGCCCACGCGAGGGTCTCCGCCTCCCCCCCCGCGTCCTTCCTTCTTCCCCCCCCGCGGCAACGGCTCCTCCCGCGGCCCCGCCCCCTCACCTAGGACGCGCTTGGCCGCCTGGCTCCGAGCCGGGACGCCCCCGGTGGGGGGGGGCGCCGCCGCCGCCGCCGCTTTGGCCACGCCGGCCGCGGGCTCCCCCGCGGGAATCTCCCCGGTGGCGGGAAGGGCTCCGCCGCTCTCCGCCTCGCTCAGCATCCCGGTGCCGGTGCCGGTGCCGCCGCCCGTTGGTGCCGCCTCCGCCTCCTCCGCCTCCTCCTCCGCTGCTGCTGCTGCCGCTCCGGCCGCCGAACCCGCGCCTCGTGCCCGGGGACACACCCTCGCTCCTCGCGGCGCCCACGCCCAATCAGCAACGGCCGCTCCCGCCCACGCGCGCGCCCGCCAATCGCCTGCCGCCGCCGCCCACTACCGGCCGCTACCTGGCCTTTTATGCCCCGCCCGGGACACGCCCCCCGCGCCGCCCCATTGGCCCGCCCGCCCCGGCCAGGTGTGGGGCGCCCCCACGTGGGGGGGCAGCTGCAGGTGGGGCCGCCTGCCCGAGCGGAGCGGAGCCCGGGCGGCGGGAGACGGGGGTGGGGGGAGGAATTAGGGAGGGGGGGTCTCTGAGCTTTAGGGGCGGGGGGGGTCTTCTGGCAGACGTCTCGGGGCCCGACTAGGCAACGTCACCCGGGCTAGACGGGAGGGAGGTTTGCAGGAGGGCTGTGGGGTCTTCGGTGCTTTCGGAGCTTTATGGGGGGGGGGTCTTCTGGCAGACGTTTCAGGACCCGACTAGGGAGCATCAGGAATGGTGGAAGGGAGGGGGCTTTGTAGGAGGAGGAGGACTGTGGGGGTCCCTGGTGGTCTCTGAGCTGGGTGCTTTCCTTGCAGACGTCTCGTGACCCAACTAGGGAACTTCATCAGTGCTAGAAGGGAGGAGGAGGAGGAGGAGGAAGAGGAGGACTGTGGGATCCTTGGTGCTCTCTGAGCTGGGTGGTTCCCTTGCAGACGTCTCATGACCCAACTAGGGAACATCATCAGTGCTAGAAGGGAGAGTGGGAGGAGGAGGAGGAAGAGGAGGACTGTGGGATCCTTGGTGCTCTCTGAGTTGGGCGCTTTCCTTGCAGACGTCTCATGACCCAACTAGGGAACATCATCAGTGCTAGAAGGGAGGGGGGTTTGCATACTAAGTGGGGGGAGGAAGAGGAGGACTGTGGGATCCTTGGTGCTCTCTGAGCTGGGTGGTTTCCTTGCAGACGTTTCATGACCCAACTAGGGAACAGCATCAGTGCTAGAAGGGAGGAGGAGGAAGAGGAAGAGGAGGGGAGAAGAGGGGAGGAGGAGGACCGTGGGGTCCCTGGTGCTCTCTGAGCTGGGTGCTTTCCTTGCAGACGTCTCATGACCCAACTAGGGAACAGCATCAGTGCCAGAAGGGAGGGGGGTTGTGGAGGAGGAGGAGATGGGGGGCTGTGGTGTCCTGGCTGCTCTCTGAGCTTT